ACCCATAGCAAGGAATATATTGTTTGTTATGCTTCAATATGATACTTATTATTTTGATGGTTTTTAAAAGTTTCAGTAGCACCTTTCCATTTAGTAAATGGTGTTAATACTAAGCTCTGTAATTTTTGCTGAGCTCTTCCAGCAAATTTGGGACCAAATAAAACACAATTCTTGCAAAATGCACCATCAAATCAATGGTAGGAGAAAATGCAAGCCATGTCCACCTTGATAACCAAACATATTGGAACCTTAATTTTTTTGTTGTCGTGTCCCTAATATATGGGAAAGTTATATCTGGTTGATATTTCCAAAATCTCCAGTTTTTTTTGAGGAGTTAAATCATTCTATAAGAAATTATATATATATATCCCACGGTTACCCTATAATAAATAATTTGTATGAATTTATTCTTCATTCTCATAAGAATAGTTGGGCAAAACTAATCTCATAAATGTGTGCAATATAATGCAATGGAAAAAACATTATTAAAATTTTATTTTTAAATGGTTGTTTTATCAATAAAAATCTGAAAAAAACTTTGTACTAACTATATTATATTTAAAAAAAAGGTCACATAGAGAAGCTGGCATAAATGGTGTTTGAAAACTGGCCACCACCCTTTAACCTTTTATCTTTGTACCTTACCTAATTTTTATTACCAACATACATTGTACATATAAAAGCATTTAATGAAAATAGACAGCCATTATCTGGCCAAAATTAATACATTACATTGAAACACACTTATTGAAATGAAAATGAACATATTTAATTAGCAATTGTTATGATCATTAATAAAAATTCCACACTATTAATATCTATCAAATTTAAATTTAATATTCTTATATAAACTTTAAGATTAACAACAAAGCAGTGCAAATTCCCACAAGGAATAATATTCATATAGATTAAATACTCACCAAACCTGCCTAACCTAATTTTTATAAAATAGATACTAGTGCTACCTACCTTTATCATTTTTTCCTTCAATTCCTGTGCTCTACCTTCTATACGCAATTCCATGGGTATTTTAACTTATAAAATAAAATAAATATATTTTTAGCCATTATATCCAAAAATTATGATTTTTTAAATATCCAAACGGTCAGATGTTTTAAATCGAACTATATCAATGAATGCACCCGAAACACATCATCAAAAATTTTAAAAAAATGTGCCCTACACGATGGGGTTTACGTCATGATTCAGTTTCGGCATTTATAGAACTCAAAGAGATGATAAGAATATATTTGATGAAATTACTAAATGGCAAGATAGTAATGTGTCTTCAGAAGCGATATCATTATTGAATTCAATTGATCAATCAGAGTTTATCATTGCTGCTAGTTGCATCAATAAATTATTTTCCTATAGTTCAATACTTTGTAGAAATCTACAAAAACCAAATTTAGATTTGGTTCAGGTAATTGATTTGGCAGAAAATATATATGAACAGGTGGATAAAATAAGAACGAATATCGATGAATATTTTCATAATATTTATGTAGATATTGATTCGAAGGCTCAATTTTATGATATATCAATAATTAAACCCGTCTAGCACCAAGGCAATTAATGAGATGAAATATAAATATTGGATCAACTGAAGATTATTATAAAATATCTATTTTTATCCCATTCTTGGACACTTTTTTATCACAAATAAAAGTACGATTTTTAGATAAAAAACAAGTCTTTGCAATTCTTAAAGTTTTATTGCCCAAAGATCCCTCCTCATTTTCTAATGCCACGATTGATAAAATAAAATATTTAGCCAAATTTTATTCGTACGATATTGATTCGGAGATAAATTTAATCAGCGAATTTGAATTATGGTATAAATATTTATTATGTTTAACTATTTTACCTGAGCATGCCATTGATGCGCTAAATCGTTGTAAAGATATCTTGAATAAATTTCCCAATGTTATTTTATATTCTTGCATGTTTGCCTATTACAACATGCACGAATGAAAGGACATTTTCAAACTTGAGAAGGCTGAAGACATTTTTACAAAGTAATATTTCAGAATCTTGGCTAAATGGATTAGCTATGTTAAATATTCATAGAGATTTAGTTCCAACGATGAACGAAATTCTAGATGAATTGGCAACTTCCACACGAAAATTAAAAATTACATTATAGTTATAGTGTTTAATAAACTTTTTGATAATATTGTATTTGATAGAAGTTATAAAAACTTGCTTTTTAAATTATTTATTAGTCAATATTTTAAACACTAGTATTTTCAATAAAAAAAATTTTATTCTACTTATATTGTATGAGAATTTAAGCAGAGGCTAGTTTTTAAATCAAATTTTAAATGACATTATACTTTATTTCAACTTTACATTTAAAAAAACTTTATTAAATATAACATACCTAACTTAAAATAATAAAAAATAGGCTTGTAATATCATTAGGCACAAATTAGTAAATAAAAGTTAAAAATAGATATATAATTTTTATGAATAATTTAATAGAATAGTAAAACATACGGCCGAAGGCCGGACAAAGGCTGACCGAAGGCCAGCTAAGGGGGTTTGGGGACGAAGCCCCTCAAAAAATCCCCCCCCCAATGGAAAATCCTGGATACGCCACTGCTAAACATGATATAATATCGATGCTTGAAATGATATAAATTAAAAGTTATAGAACAAGATTTTGATCCAGAATCAATTAGATTTAAAACATGAGCTTTTATAGATGAATAAACATCATCTAGTGCACCCCTACTAATGGTTGCCCGATCAGGCAATTCTGACAAGGAATCAAATATATATTTCGACAGTTTATTTTTTAATAATCATTTTATTTTAATTTTATGCTTTTAGAAAAACAGTTATTCCTTTATTGTTTATAGAATCTAATGGCATTAAATCTAAGCATTATATCAAAACATATTTTTAGCCTATTTGATTATATTTATTTTATACATTAAAAATATTTAAAAACATAATAATTATTAAAGCTGAAATGAAACAATTTCTTGAACTTTCAAAATTAAATTTTATATAATTAATTTAATAAATCAAGTTATATGTTAAATTTATATATTAAAAAGATACTTAAAAAAACATCAATTAGAGCTGGCTATAAAACTAGGGTGTTTTAAAACGTATAAATCTAATATGTTAATGTTTGTGTAATTTTGAAATATAATGATTTAAATTTAAATAATAATTTAATTTGTAAATATAATTAAATAGCATTCTAATAGTTATGCCCGCCGCGCCGCCGCCATAAAAACGACGGCGAGCCTGGCAGCACGGCTCATTTTAAGCGGCGGCTTTTCTGGCGTTGGCCGGGGGCGCACAGGTCTAAATATAACCAAGGATGTACCTTTTAAAAAAATTGTATCGAGTGAGAAACAGAAAATTTGCAAGTGTTACTTGTTTTGCTCATAGTTTACAGTTATTTATTTTTTGCTTAGAAAATATTGACTTTTTTATTACCGAAGAACAAAATTATTCTAATCAAATATGAATAAGGAAAAAATATTATTCTTCAAATAATTATATATCCATTATTCGGTCGAATTATTCTATTTGTAAATATAAAATAAACATATATTTTTTAAATTATTTCTATTGAATACTATCTTCCTAATGGAGGAATTATGAGCCTTACGTTTTTGTTTCCAGCTTCAAGCATTTTGTTGCAAAATTTGATAAACTGAAAAAATTTATTATGGATTATTATAGACAGTTTTGCATCTATTTTTATCTACTCAATTCAATTTAACTTGTTCATCTTTTTTAGCCATAAGAATCATTTCTACAAAAATTTTTCCTTTTTTTTGTAAAATTTGAATAGAAATTTTAATTTTTAAATCGAATATTCGAGATCGAATAATGATTTTATTATTGATACATATAAATAATAAATCAGAGTTGTGATCCTGAATTGGGGTTCAGGAATTTAAACTCTATTTAGCGGAAATTTTGATAAGAGGAGCTTAATCGCAATCAATTTTCTGAAAGAGGTCCAAACCCGCCCAGGGTTTGATGGTTTGCCCATACGGTCTCTATTTGGTCTTAGCAACAATTTTAAATTTCTTAAACCTAATTTGTGTTCACAACCTTGGAATACACTATGATTCGTAAATAAAAGTATTTGATTTATAAACGAATATTCTATGATTTTATTCAATTTTCTGGGGGAGCCCACTTCAAAGATAGATGGTCAATATTGTTTATGAATATTGGGTCGGATCATGAAAAATTTATGGACTGGCGCGGCTCTAAAATTAGCACAATGTCTAGTTGACATGTTCAAAGCCAATCCTGCTACCATATACGATATCCTGACAGTCGTTTCCCAGAAATCATTTTTTGAAATTTAAGAAAATCGAGGATGTTTTTTCAAGCCTGTTCTGAATTTTAATATATTTTTTTTAACCTTGAATAATGCAAATTTGTGATTTTTCCTTCACAAAAAATAGTCAACCTTTGTGTTTTTTTCGGACTGGGCAGAAAATCTTTTTTAAAATTTTTAACGGGCCCGCTGATTCTGCAAAATCGAAATATTTGTGTTCCCAAGATCTTTCCCAAATAATTTTTAAAACTTGGTAATATTTTCTTTTGATATAGTTTCCAAAATTTATAACAATTCCAACCCACCTTTCATGAGAGCTTGCAATCAGCTGCCTGAAATTTATACATTCCCCTCGCATGGTAGTAAGCTTGAAAACGTCGTTTCACTTTATGGGGGAGCCATTCACCCTAGGAAATATGCTATTCGTTTTTTTTAAAAAAATCATAATTTTAATGATTGGATCATTTTCCCTTTATAATTAGACCATATACAATACATAAACCCCCAACCCCCCTCCAGTCTTAAACAAATTTTTTTTGGTCCTCGGTCCTTTTGTTTCTCTTTTTTGGTAATTTACCATTACTACATACCTCACTGCACCTTTTTTAAAAACAATAAACTTTTATATATATATTTATATTATTTGTAAGAATCTATAAAGAACATACCAACACATATTTAGGTGTATGGGGCATGTGTAATCATTCCTTCCACCATTGCTGCATGTCCATATGGATAAAAGATCATAACAACTGCCCTTTATGTCAACAAGAATGGTCCATTCAACAGATCGGAGATTAAAATAATTATTTAACTTATTTGAAAATAAAATATACAACAAAGACAGAGTTTAATAACTTTTCCCGTTTAAAGTGTTTTTTTTAATGTAAACCATAATTTATAAAAAAAAATTTTATATATATTATATACATGACTGTGTGATATATGATTACTATCAAATGTTTTATTGCCCAATTGATATAAAAATGTAATATTGTTTGAAATATGAAGATGATATATATTTAATAATATGAGGATTTATGTTTATAATTAAAATATTTTGTGTATAGAGGGTAAAGAAGTATAGCTACGAAAGAGGGTAAGCAAAAATTTTGGTAAAAGTTATTTAGCATTTGTAGCGATTTTTTTTTATTTTTAGATATTTAAAAATGGCCGCCCCAATATGGGTTATTTTCTTTAAAAAAAATGTATATATCCTGCTGAGCATTTATGTATTAGTTTAAGCTTTACCCTTAACCTATAATGTATTCAATAATTTATTAGTATTTTTAAATTTAAAAAAAAAGTCATAAGATTGATATTTGCACTTGCGCACCAATCGACCAATTATAAGGATCCCCTGTCAACCAACCTGATTAAGGAAATTTTTTTGTACAATTAGATATATAATTAGAGATTTACAGAAACCAATTTTTTTGAATATGGATTTTTAAAATTATTTTTTGGCTCGATATGTGTTTTAGGTTTTTTAATTAGCATCATCTTTAGTCAACCATATTGTCATTTTTTATTTAAAATTTTTTCTTAGGAACATAGTAACCTTTCTCAGAAAAAGGTGTCATTTTTTTAGTTATATGTATATATAAGTAAGACATTTATAAAAAGCGTTTTAACATAAAATTTTCTAACTTAGTGTCACCTAGAAGTCTGCAAAGAGATTTTTTAGTCCAACCTTAGCCCTAATAAAATTTTACAATTTAAGTTAATATTATATTCATCGCCACCTTAAATTAAAGTTTATTTGACAGCTATAATTTAATCAAAATATATATTAAGTTGCATTTTATTTAATTTGTAAAAAATATTATAAAAAAGTTAAAATAAAATCGAATTTAAAAATTATTGCGGTTTTGTAAAAACAATAAACATAATTTATGTTGAATGTAGATATAATGGTTAATATAGAAACTAAAAAATATAATGTCATTCATTATCAAAATTACCATAAAGTGAATAATTAATGAGTCCGGTTTATCAGACTTTACACATGTCCTTTTCTCCTCATAGGCCCTACCAGCTACCCTGCCCATCTAAGTGGGCGAGTATTAAAATTTTTAAGAATGGGCGGGTTAAAAAAAATTTGAAACTGGGCGGGTTAAGAAATTTAAATTTTTTGTTTCATAAACAAACTAAAGAAAAATCATAATTTTTTATATGATCAATAACAATATTACTTTTTCTATTGTACCAATCGTTTTTTTTAAGTGAAGAACATTTACCAAACTACATTATGTAATAAACACAACAATAAAACTTTTTTCTTAGAATAAATAAACTTATTTGTCTATTAAAAATTAAAATTTCCTTTTTTGGGTCTACAATCTGCATTGTATTAATATATTTTAGTAATAATTGTTTATCTTTATAATTGCCCTTATATAATATATAAATTTTATTTTTTATAACATAATATTTAATAAATAATATTTTTTAATATACTTTTTATTTTAAAATTATACTCTGAATAAAGAAAATATGTCTAGAAAAATAAAAAATAATTTTTACAAACGATAATGAATTAGACAATAAACTCAAATCTTCAATGTGGAAACAATTTAAAATCATTTTCGATGAAAATGGCAAAAAGCTAGATTGGATTCGCTGCAATGATTGCGAATCTATCTATAAATATAATAATAAAAGTGTCACATCCTTCTTCCTTCGGCATCAATGTTCACTTTTATTTAAATATCTCACTTGAGCAGAGGATATACTTCAAGCGGATCTACTTTGATGGAAACGACAAGAAAGAGATTTGCCAAAGCTATTCAGATTAGCAAGAAAACTATTGGCAATTCCTGCAACTAGTGCTTCTTTTGAACGAGGATGTTTGAATCCAGAAAATGTCGATTCATTATTATTTTTGCATTATAATTACATATAATATCAATTTTATATTTATAATTTTTTCATAAATATTTTATTTGATCAAACAGATTTTCCATAATTTAAATTGATTATTTTTTTAATGCTTAAATTAATTTCCTAAATTATAAACTTTTTGTAGAGGTGTAATGCTGAATTATTTTTATTAGATGCTTAAAATTGAAAGAATGGCCATAATTAAATTTTATAAGCGGGCTTGGGTTAAAAATTTTTTATAAATAATATGCGGGCGGGTAAAAAATTTTAGACTAATGGGCGGGCGGTTAAAGAATTATAGATATTATTTTTAAAAAACTATGAGCGGGCGGGTTAAAATTTTTTAAAACATTGGGTGGGCGGGTTGGTCCGAAAACTCTCCCAATGAAGATCTCTACTACCGGCAACTGAAAACGTTATTTTACTTCTAGCCGACTAAGCAGGGATAGCTATAAATTTAAGAGCCAATACTTAAATCTGCAAAGTCATTATAGTTTGTCTTCCACCAATTTAAAATATTATCATCTTCAATATATAATTTAGCATCTAGGTATTTTATAAGTTCGTCAACTTCAACGCTAGTATCAGAAAACGCAGTGTCAGCTTCTATAGAGAGAAATCTAAAAACGTTTCTGCCTCTAAGAAAAAAATATTCATAATATTTTAATAATTTTAAAAGTTATATTTACCTTATTATTTATTTAATTTCACTAATCTATCAGTTGAGAAGCTAGATGGTGAGTTAGTATTTGTAGATTTTTGCCCAATCATATGCCTGTTGATCTTCTCGGCTTTAATCAACGTGTTGATATCTCGGCACAAATCTTTATAATGTTCTCGGGATAACATTTTTATATCCTAAGATTTTGAGCCCAAAAATGTCAAAATTTGGTGGAGTATATCTATTAAAAATTTATCCACTATTAATTTCCAACATTTTTGCGACAGCTGATTAAGCTGTTTGGCTGAGCTAAATAAAACTAAATATTTTAGGATAACACAACATAACCTTGTAAATGGTGGTTTTTAAATCACCCTCTAGCTCGCAATTTTAAAAAGCATCAGAAACTTGATAAGGTCGCTCATCATTTCATAATCTATATTTTTTGGATTCTCTTTTAGAACCTAGAAACTCCAATATTTTATTGAATAGATTAAAAATCGATTAAATCATCTTTAATCTGCTATTCCATCGAGTCTCACCAAATAAATTATTTTATCAAGTTGATTAATTAATCTAAAAATGCTATATTTTAATAAAAAGTGGATTTAGCATACCAATGCTGTTTCATACAAATTACTGAACTTTTGCAATTAACACTGAACCTTGAGATTCATAATTTAATTTTCAAAGTTATTCCTTAATACTATATTTTAAAGATGGAAAACACAATTTAATCGTGTTTAGGATTCTCAAATGCTTTAGTTGCTCCTTTCTCTGTAATGAGTAACATTTCAGATAAATATGCCCTAATATATCCTGATATAAAAAATATATTAATTTTTATAGTTATTTTTAATAAAATCAAAACATATAAAGGTGAAATTTCTAATTATATCCTTTTTAATATTTTCACCCATCTTTTTTTTCTTCAAACTTGCATAAAAATAATTCCCTTTTATTAAGTTTACTAGAATCGTTTAAAAAATGAATAGTAAGAGTTACATAGGATACCTTCTTATAATCATCAGTCTAAAGGTTTGTGAAAAATTATTAATAATTTAACCATATTCTCATATATGTTACTAGCACACCTACACTTTTCCACATTATATGCGTTTAATTTCGGAAATAATTTATTTATGCAAATTTTTTTTTTTTTAAATGTGAAGATTAACTTTATTATTTATTCATAATCATTAAATTACAGAGGATTAAAAAATATATATTAAAATGGATATATTAAAAATTAAATATAAAAAAATAAATATATAATATATATATAATCTATGAAGACATTAAAAAGGACTATAAAAAAAATATATATATTTTAAAAAAAGGGGGTATATATCATCCAAGACAAGAGTGAATACTTAAAAAATTAGACCGGCAAATTTCCAGGGAAATCTGCTGGCGAAGGTAAAATCCTTCATTGGGGTCCCCTGAGATCTGTCTCATTTTTTTACCTATGATTTTAATGAAATTAAGGGCCTCGTTTTAAAACATGCCTTGGGTATTGGTAACGATAGGAATGAACATAGTGTTGGCGAGGCCAGTGTATTTATTTTTTTTAAGGATTTCTGCCTTTTAGATAGCAGAAAATGATGGCTGTAAAATCAACGCAAGTGTAATCCCATGTTAGCGGAAGACCATTAGACCAGGGTATGAGAGAAATACCATCCGGCCATATGGCGTATTCGTTTGAAAGACCCACTGGTTCGAGGGTAGATGGGATATTAACTTTTTTGAGGGTGGCTAGTAAAATGTTAGAAAATGACATGTTATTCTGATTGTCATTTTAAAGGATAAAATGTGATAAATAAAAAATGACATAGTGTTATAATTGATATTATGAATTATAATGATTATTTAGGATATTTATACTAATATTTATTTTTCGGGTGAAGGGTGGGGTTTCGAGCCGGGCAGTTCTTATATTGAGGGACGCTTTTGATCGTAAAACACTTCATCGTATTTTTTGTCCAATTCGTCAAAATGGGGATTAACATGTTTGAAATGGTAAAAATGTTATTAATTATTTTTGGAATAAAATTAAATCTTTACTTTATTATTTCTTATGTTATTAGCGATTCAAATTATATAGCAAATTAAGAAGCCTCATAAACTATTCTAATTTAAAACTGTGGTGATTTGTTCATCGAGTCCGACCATCGGGGAGGGGGAGAGAACGACTGAGTTCGTGGGTCGGGGATTGTCGATGAAGGGGACAGGGGGACCGGACTTGACTGGCATCTTAGTCATAGAATCTCATAGAATCAAAACGGGAATTTATGCCGTAACACGAATTTTTATTTTACTCAATAGGTAATCAAAAAAAAAATATCAATATAACATTAATTTAATCCACAATAAAAATAATCAAGAAACAAAAGTAAAATTTTATTGATCGTTAATTCATTTTTCGG